TAAAAATCTAACGACATGATTAAAAACAAGATAAATTGTCGATAATGTGCTAGAAAATAATCTAATTTCGCGCATCTTAGATACCAGATATCATATCACTCTGCTCATGAGTAGTTGATACAATTATGAAAAAAAAAATAGAATTTTCTGTTTACTGGTCTTAAATTAGGAAACTATTTAAAAAAAGCACGTAAAAACAGACTTTGTAATATTTATGAATGCATACGCACTGTGATCCAAAGCATAATATCGTAGGTAGGCCCTTTTATACAGTAGTAATCACTTAACACCATCTAAACCGTGAACACTTGTACTAACCATACAAAAAAAAAAACGGTGTAAACGGTGTGGTGCACTCAACTCAACACGATCACTTTGACAATGAAACGCCAGACGTTTTCGAAACGATCGCGATTGATTTCGCGATGATTCAGGCGGCGGCGTGCGGCGCACCACGTGGACAGAGTCAATAACCCCACGCAATAACAACACACACTATACAAAACATCTCTCTAATTTTAATGAAACAATTAGTAAAATGATGTTAAGGTATACAAATGCAGCATATAAGCGTATGCTTATTAGTTCAAATAGACATGAATGAACGACTGAAATTCAAAATTAAGTTAGTAATTTATACCTTTTGTACAACCGTGAAATGTCATTCATCAATCTATAAAATCAGCACGTGTTAACCTGCCTTTTTTAATTAAATCGATACTCATATTCGTAAATACTTTATTTCTACAAATATTTTTCGGATTGTACTAAAACAAGCCATTAGAAATGGTGTTGAGCACAACCAAGGTGCTCTCTAAAGTTTTGAGTACTTTTATTTCGCAGTCCTTTTATTTGCTGCTGGAGGTTTAACCCAGTATCGGTTCAACACCTTTTGCTATTACAATTTATAAGTTGTTTACATGATTTTGTTAAAGATGAACATAAAGAAAAAGGCCCAGATTATGGACAAATGTTTAATCTTACTTCTTACTAATGATATAAATGAGAAAGTTGAAATGGATGGATGGATTACGATTAAATTTAGTAAAGATGTAGAGCATCGTCTGGAAGAACACATACAGTACTTACATTCGTTTTTTTTTAATTCCTCGGCTGCAGTCGTAGGCGAAAGCTAACGTTTATTGTTATACTATGTATTTACATTACGTTTAATTTCAGTAATTTCAACGAAGTATTGCCAATCAACAATCGAAAAGAATGCGATGTAATAAACATTAGGATAGACATCATCCCTTTTTCTCGTATCTTTGGTGGGTTCACGTACTGAATCACCGACAGCCGTGGAAACAACGATCTGTAAATCGTACTGGATGTGATAAGCCATTTCTCAATACTTTACTTCCTAAATAGTATATTACTATTTTAATTCGATTTGTAAATACCCATCCAAAACATTGTTAAGGAACAATTGTATGGTTATGTTAATGTATATAAATTTTTACTTCTGTTATCATCCATGATGAGATCTACTTTTATCATAAATCTTGCTGGAGGATAAATCACAAAATGTTTGCTATCATTTATCTCGATATCATAGAGTATCATCGATCCCTATTTTCTACAAGACGTCTTTCAAACCTTGGATTACTAAAAATATTTAAATTTAGCTAGAATTTCTAATGACACTTCTAGTAAATTGATATTGGGTAGGTGACTGTTTAACCCACACATAGGGTCCTATCTTTTACGATGGAGATGTTATAGCGGGGAAATAAGTTATTTTCACTAGATTGGCACTGGCGGATGGCGGAAAATGCTATGGGAAATGATGGTAAACTATGGCGTGTGATTTGCAGTATTTTTATTCTAATTACCATTTATTTTCAATAGTTATTACCTGCATTTCACCTATATCGGTGGATTTTTATAATGAAGTTTTAACAACTGATCCCTATGATTTTCTGCGTTTAATAGTCAAGATAAATCGAAAATGTATAGATTTATTTACTAAATAATTACAATAGTTGCCATTTATCGGCTAATAAACACAAATAACTTAAAGCAATTATATTAATTTAATGTCACGTAATAATTAGCGATAATTTTATACATGGTTAGTGAGGCAGGGTCCGGAGTGGGATTTCTCAACAGTACGTGTTCAGCCTAACTGCTGTTATTCAATTGTATCCAAAACTATTCCCACTTGGCGAAACTTTAAATTAAACGCCGCTCGAGCACTGGCCTTAACATGATTCATTATGAATTTTTGAAGAGTTCTCGCATATTGTTCGTTAGTTATATTGTACTGGAACATAAACTACATGTCGACGTAAGCTTGAAAACCGTAGTCATCCGACTCTCGACAAACTTGTAAACATTCACATTTTAGAGAAATAAAATAACTTTACTTATTATGTAAACAACCAACATTAAAACTGTATCTGATAGAAATGAAATGAGCCAAATCTATTCGTTTCTTAGTGAGTTTATATTTTTTTATCGTCGATTAGTATCTCAACGTGTCGGCAATGCAGCTCTTTAAATTGATGAATTTATAAATATGGAAATTGAAGTTATTTTTATTTCGTACTTATTTGTATTCGTAGTAAATGTTCGTCATTCAACAGTTGTTAAGTGCTAAGCTTAGCAACACAATATTATGTGCTTATTATAAATTCACGACGTTTATTGTGTCGCGAACCCGAAGCATATATTAGTATCAAGGCGGTCTTGTTGCTACGAATTGAACCGGAGTCTACAAAATGTATCTTGTGGCCAACATTGCTCGCAGTTCACATCTCGTCTGGCTGGCTTTCGTCAGACACTTAATCGCCGAGCTGGGTGCGGATCCACGTCGCGCTATCAGGTGCGCCGCAAACAAAACTGCTGAATAGAGACCCGGTTAAACATGCACGTCGGGTGTACCGATATAATTAAAGTTTAGGAGACGCTCACGTCGCCCGTTAACCTCGTTATCGGGCGCTGGAAGTGGGTGAGACGCGGCAGGGGCGCCGGCCTCGGCCGCGGGGGGAGGGGAAAATCAATGACAGCCGCCGCGCGCCGGCTCTCCCCGGCTCTCCCCGGCCCGACGCGCTCATCTCGCGGCCACGTGCCGCGGTCACTGCCCCGCTTGCGGCATCATCTCACCATCTCACCACCAAGACGGTACCACGCCGCCGCGCCACCGTTGTCAACGGCGCCTTTGTAACCGGACCGTAGCCAAGATATCATATCGCCGAAACACAACCCGGCAACAATCAACATCAAGGAAGCCGGGGAAGCCACGCATCTGACATCGCGTCACCGTTGCATGTCCGGCCCTGCCACCCACCACACGACTGAACTAGACATATGACGGAACCTCTACGCTCGCCCGTTCTTCCTACGCCTATCAAATATAGTTATTGTTTATTAGGTATCTAGGCCGCACTCGGAAATTTGGGTTATCGTTTGATTTGCATTCGCCGGTTTTACTGCCTCATAGTTATTTATGTAACACCGGTCTAATACTAGTGTTGTATGCTAAGCCTGACGTGATGCTCGTCTATTATAATATTTTTAGCATTTTTTGAACCTAGACAAGTCAGGTGAAATCAATCTAACGTGTAATATGATTTAAAGTTATTTACTTTACTAATTCGGAATCCAACTGTGTCCGCAAAACACATAAGAGATTACATTAGTAAATATGTGCTTTTAAATAACAAACATGTAGCGATGAACCGGCGCGTTTGGAATCCACACATCCGAATGTTTTGTATAGCGGCATATCGCGACCATCGTCGATCAATGTCAACCGCATATTTAGGTCAACGTCCGTCCGACGAAATTCCCGCGCTCTCCGCGACGCGTCATTTCCTATAACGCATACGGTGACTCTTTTATAAGTTCGTATGTTGCTATGTGCCTGACTATTAACCTAATCTTTCCGCTAAGTATTTTATTATGATATTGATTATAGCTTACAATTTTCTATTTGTGTTACTTTATACATTATCATGTTCTATGCGCGTGTATTTGTAGAAATCAAAACGTTTATGAAACAAACTTGTGTATAGCGTCTCAGATCAAGTCAACATTGAATTTTTAGATTTATATCATAACGTAGTGTAATATCATAAACGCTGTTGTTCGGAAGCAATATAGCTTGTATTCAAAAGCCCTCATTGTACATAGTATATATCTTAGTTGCGTAGGTCGCCTAGACGTTTATAGCCTACGGCATTGCATCGTTAGTATTCATACTTCCTCGAAGCCTTTTCGTAAAATATGCCTCAAAATCACGCGTCGCTCTATGCCGCCGCATTTATGATAAATTCATATAAAGCGGCTAGAGCGCGACGTATGGGGTTGCCATACACGAACTGCCTCAAGCAAGGTCTGTAGCGACGAATATAAACATTAACTGCTAATCGCCCAACGGTGGCAAGCGTTAAGCCGATAGTAAGAATGTAATAGACACACAAAAGGTTTATTATATAAAGTACTATTGCATAAACAACGATAGTGTTTTATAGGGCACCGTATTCCATTTTTGAAATAAAAATTCGTTTAGAATATTGGATGATTTTAAAAATGATATGTTAAAACAAATTTTAAAAGATGAACTTTTTTTATTCTAAACGGGGCTTGCATCATCGGTGCTTTTTAATTTGATCCTGTCGTTGTAAAATAGATAAGGGTGCTGTGTCAGCGATAAATATCGGCACTCGGCCCCTATCGATTGGATGCAGCGGTTGACCGACATTTCAAGGATATTTTAATCTCTTATATTCGATACTCTTAATACTTAACATAGATGCCTCTACTTTATTAATCTGTACATAAATATGTCGAGCAAAAACTTTTATACCTTAAGATTTGATTTATTAAAATCAAAAAAAAAGACTCCGTAACTTGTTGCTGAGTAGTAAATACGCCGAAATATAAATTGACTTTTGTTTGTTGTCGTGTGAAGTGAAGGAACTTTTTCGAATGTTCGATCTATTGTTTATTTGATTAAAGTGTATTATTAACGATTTCTCTTATTTTCGCTTCAGGTTTACTATGCAAAGAAGAAACGGAGAGCGCAACAGTACCTTGGGGATGACGGTTCACACAAGAAGGAGAGAAAGTTATACAACGACGGGTATGACGACGACAACCACGACTACATCATCAAACAGGGAGAGAAGTTCCTCGACCGGTATGAAATCTCCTCGCCAATAGGAAAAGGATCCTTTGGGCAGGTGAGCTAACAAACCGATTATTATGTTAAATGGCTATAGAAGTTTTAAACTTAGACTTTTGTTTGATAAAACCTTAGATGAATGTGGAGGTATTGAGTGACAGTCGAAGCCGAGGTCCCCTCTCGGGGCCCTTGTGCCTAGTCACTCCATGGAGCGTCCACCGAAGCGATCTAAGAGCTCGGTGGCCCCCGAATACTGTTATAATAACGAAGTAACGGCTCGTGCCGAGGCTCCTGAGAGAGCCCTCGAGCTCAGTTACTCATAAACGAGGTTTAGGCTAAGCGCCATCTGCGCTCGGCTAACTCAAGCCTGGTGAATCTGTAAATGCCTCTTCAAGCCAAACAGTGGCCATTCAGTAACAAAAAAAAAGTGGAGATACATCAATAGAGGTAGAAAGAGATGGATAGGTTACGTGAAAGGTGACATGATCAAGAAAACGACCCTGATGACGGAAGATAGATTAATCTGGTCAACGAAAATATACCGACCTACGGGAGTAGGATAAGGTTGTGGAGATGATGACGTATTTTGTTCTTGGTTAACATCTCCCAAAAGATAGAACAGTCCCTTAGGAATTTTCAGTACTATAAAATTTCATTTTAATTAACCAAGTTTCGCATAAAGAACGGTTTTTAGAAACGGACTGTGAGAAAAATGTGATAAAATATTGATTATTCATTATTTCTTCATAATAAAATGTAGTTAGCTCTCGTGTATAAAAATAGGAATAACGGGGCCATTGAGCAAACATTCCAGTTAAACGAGCAGCGGAGTTTTTTGCACAACCCTAGTGTTTTATTCTTCGATTCTTTATTGCCTCGCCGCAGAGCTGAGTAAGATTGCAGACATTTTAAACGTTTACTTAGCCACTCGTAGATCTCAGAGACGTCTTTCTAAAGTAGTGTTTACTTCATCTGGGAAAATTTATATATGTGCAATAAATCCATAAAAACTTATTAAGAAATTAACTAATTAACAGTTAAAAAAATTCTAGGAAAATACTACAATTTCTCTAGTGTTTAAGACGTTTATAGATTTTCGTTTGGCACTTGTCCGTTTATAAAAATAATAAACATACGAATTGGAATTAATTTTTTAATAAAGTGGAAATTGCTATCATATGTATGTTATTGACAGAAAAAGATATAATCATTACATCAATATCCAAGTCCCAACAATAAAATCAAACTGAGGACGATATCGCCAATTATAAAAGGCATGTTGCTCTGTCGTCCTTTAGGGTTTTGTCCTTTTATTATTATTTAATTATACTCTAGGTAAAAAAAAAACAAAAATCGCCTATACTTATGTAATACTTGCTGTTGCTCGCGACTTTATTCGCGTGAAATTAATTAAAAAAATATATACCCTATGTTACTTACTGATAACGAGCTTTCTAATCGTGAACGAATTCATAATATCGGCAGAGTTATTTCAATATATACTAAGAATCTTTCTTCTTTATGATATTAGTATAGAAGTATAGACTAAAGTTGTATAGAATTATTAAGATTATTTATAATAATCTTGTATTGTATGTTTTATTCCAGGTTGTGAAAGCGTACGACCACGAGGAGCAGTGTCAAGTAGCGATAAAAATAATTAAGAATAAGAAACCCTTCCTAAACCAGGCACAAATAGAAGTCAAGTTACTAGAAATGATGAACAGGGCAGATGCCGAAAATAAGTATTATATAGGTAAGTTACAGGTTTACTTAAAACCCCCTTAATTCGTAAAAAGGCATGAGGAAACAACAACAAGTCTAATTGCACGGAATTACAAATAAAACATGAGGTTATCGTTTATATAGGAACCACATTTGCCACAAGTAAAAACCCATTTAGAGTTGTTTGTTTTGGGTTAATCATGGTATAAGTTTTCCCTGTCATAGCAAGTAAATAAATTTAGTTTTTTTTTTTTAAGTTCGTTAAGCTAGCGCTTGATCACGATACCTAAGTATTGCACGTAAGTACTGCCTTTAGATTGTTGGTACAATCACTACCAAAACGAGACAGGTTCAAGAGATTACCCGCAAGATGAAGAAGGGATATCACTAGGGGAAGGTTACTAAATAAAAAAATAATAAATTGTCATCATTGCAAATGATGGTGTTACCTGTGATAGCTTCGCTTCGCTACTAGTCCTATGTCCCCAAAGCGGGGCAAAGGGTATCCACAGTGCTCCGCCAGCTCGCTCTATCCTGGGCTCTGTGTTTTACCTGTAATAGGTGAACCTATAAATAAGAAATTAACTAATTAATTGTTTATTGTTTTATAGTGAAACTGAAGCGTCACTTTATGTGGCGGAACCACCTGTGCCTCGTGTTCGAGCTGCTGTCGTACAACCTGTACGACCTCCTGCGTAATACCAACTTCCGCGGCGTCTCGCTCAACTTGACGCGCAAGTTCGCACAGCAGCTGTGCACCGCGTTACTGTTCCTTAGTCAACCAGGTTGGTAAACAAACTCTTTGGGTTTAAGTAAAACTGTATATCTAATGTGCCTTAATTCACTCAGTCAAATCGTGCCAAAAGAACTAAGAGCGTTCACAACTTTGATTACCGCACAACTGTTTAGTTGACTCCTATGAGCTTATGGAGGTGCGCACACTACTCGATTTTTAGTTGTGCAACTAAACAGTTGGATTGGCAACGAAACAATCGACAATCGTACAATAGTTGTGCAATAATTTAGTTAAAATGTCCGCTTTTTAGTCTAATTAGTGATTATTAAACTTTTCTTATCAAGGGCTCAAAAACTTTACTCGTTTTCTAATGTAATGTATTTCTTTACAGAACTAAATATAATTCACTGTGATCTTAAGCCTGAGAATATTTTGCTATGCAATCCTAAGAGATCAGCCATCAAGATTGTTGATTTCGGCAGTTCGTGTCAACTAGGACAAAGGGTAAGTGGCTGTTTAAGTTGGTAAAAAAAGTACACATTTGTAGTATACAGTTATTTTAGTAGAAGCCATCGAGTACAACCAGATACTTATTAAAAACGTATTTCTACATGTAAAGTGAGTCGCCGGCATTTTCTGGGGTAATTCAGTTGTCTAATTTTTCCTTTTTTTAAAGCGTGGGTGTAAATTTAAGAGCCATGTACAAGACAGCGCTGCGTAGGAAGCCTTTTTATCCTGACCGATAATTTTATCCAGATAAAAAAAATAATAATATAAAAGCTCAAAAATTCTTGTTTTGTAGTTGAAGGCAAACTTATTTTGAATATTAGCAGTCCTTTGCCTTGCTTTAATATTGCATAATAATTTCATTCGTACATTCGAAGATATCAGTATTCTAGCAAATTTATGAATGCAATTAAAATCCATAGATGCCGTATTTAATATCTCCGTTGTCGATTTATAGATCCAATTCTGAGTAGAAGCTAATTGTCGAGATAAATCACGCCGGGGCCTCCCGAGCCGCGGCCGCGGCCACGGCAAGGGTTATCGCCAATTGCGCGTTAAATATTAAATTATTACGCAGCGTTTAAGGAACTGCCTTTGGCGTGTTTCGATGCAGATAAGCGATTCATTGATGGGTCGCGGTCTATACTATCGCAAACGCCCTCTCTGCGATACTGTTCTAATTAATTAAACGCTAATTGTGATTATTTTACGCAGCAGTATATCATTAAACAATTTGTTTTTAGACTAATTATTCTATTGCTTATGTAATTGTGTTATCATTGTTGCGTCAGATGTTTTATTATGTAAAACTGATTGCGAACTTTTTATACTTTTGGTGAATAACGAAGGCCGTCAGGAGTATCTGTTTGGACTTTATCCGCATGTATCGAGTCACTGAATGAGATCACAATCTATGACAGAATTCGAATATTATTTGTATCAAAAATGTGGGTTTAAGATTGCATTTAACCTTTTTTATGGTATCTCTGATGTCTATGCATCGATATGCGTAGGATAATAACCTGATTGTGCTCGATACGCCCACAAAATTATCCCACACAGAATACTTTTCAAAACCTACTTATCCTTTTGTCACAGGCATCGATATTATCGCAATTAAAGTACCTATGTTATGTCATACAGGTTTTTGTTAATGTAAGATGAAAGTAAAAGTAAAAAGTCATAAGAATTTTATGTATCGTATATTGCTTTTGTATAAGGCCTAAATAATCTTACAAATTATATCCAGTGAAGTTACATTCTTTACGTTAGAAATATCGATTTCTATCGAAGTTCAATATAGGCTATTCTATATAGCCATTGGTCAGAATATGAGAATCTAATTTTCATTACTTTACAGGATAAGCAATTAAATCAATAAGAAATCTTGAAGCTGCAATTATATTTTAATTAATATATGAAACACTTAATATATGAAAAATATTTAAATTTGATGTAGTTATCCTGATAGGAATAAAGGAAAAAAGCATTTTTCGGCGATTGTACCTATATTAATAAGTCATACTGAGAAAATATTAAAAATTTACATCGTTGTCTGATATAGGAAGTAATCGTTGGTATAACCTAATTTCCAGATATACCAGTACATCCAGTCGAGGTTCTACCGGTCGCCGGAGGTGCTGCTGGGCATCCCGTACGACCTGGCGATCGACATGTGGTCGCTGGGCTGCATCCTCGTGGAGATGCACACCGGCGAGCCCCTCTTCAGCGGCGCCAACGAGCTCGACCAGATGAACAAGATTGTCGAAGTTCTCGGAATGCCGCCGGATCATTTACTCGATCAGGTAATGAATATAGAGACAATTCAATGAAAAGTGACCAATTCTATTTCCATTTAGCTGAAGTCGTACTGTTTAGTCGCGTTTTGATTCATATGAGCTTATATGTGCCAAGAAGCCAATATTCAGTGCAAATTAAAGTTATCTTGGTGTGCTCGATTTGATGTATTTATCTACTCTATGTTTTAATGTTTTAGGCGCACAAAACTAGAAAGTTCTTTGACAAATTACCAGCGTCAGAGGGCGGTGGATACGTACTGAAAAAAGTTAACGGAAAGGATGGCAGGTTAGTTAAAAATGTTTTATTTTACAATATGATATTGATACTATCTATACTATCAGTAAAATGTCCAATGTGTGTGTAGTTGGCATTATCTTCCATTCTACAATCTTGCATCTAGTCCTACTTTTTTAGTTAGCACGACGAATTTCAGAAAAAAAAAAACAGTATGTGTTCTTCCAGACTATGTTTTACAATGGTCCCAAATTTTAGCCAGATTCATCCAAACTTCAAAGTTTATAATTTCGGTATTTAATAGTCTAATAATCTTTTATCTTGGTTTCTAAACAATACATTTTATGAAAAAAAAAATTAAAAAACATATCATTTTATGTATCCCACGGGTTGCAAAATCTCAAAATTCAATCAACCCGTGGTCAGACTTGCAGAGAAAGCATCCTCACTATGGGCATTTCCAAAACTAACTGCTTTGTGTGACGCTTTTAAACCAATTGTATTAATATAATTGTTATTTGTATTAAAATATTGTGTTGTATCGCAGCGGGTACCGCAAGTACCGCGCGCCGGGCTCGCGGCAGCTGCACGACATCCTGGGCGTGGAGGGCGGCGGGCCGGCCGCGCGCCGCCGCGGGGAGCCCGGACACTCCGTCTCTGATTACCTCAAGTTTAAGGTAAACCTTCACTACACAACACACATACCATGCCAGATTACATACTAACGATTGTTAGCCAATGGTAAACGCCTACATTTATAGACCAACTAGATTTCGCCTGCGACTCTGTCAGTGTAAAATTAAGAAACAAAAGTGTTGTTAAATGTTCTTCCAGACTATCCTTTACATCTATACCAAATTTCATTGAAATCCGTTAGGCCGTTTAGGCTACAAACTCTAATAAAAATGCATCCACCCATCCAACTTAACTTTCGCACTTATGGATGACTAGTTTTCTTCTAGAATTTAAAAAAAAAAACAAAAGTAAGTAGCCTATGTGTTCTTTAATACTATCCTCTACGTCCATACCAAATTTCATCGAGATATTTTTAGGCTATAAACTCTAAGAAACATCCATCCATCTAAACTTTCACATTTATAATATAAGTAAGACAAGGATATTATAGCATTTTGAAATTTTGTAAACTAACAATTTAACCTAGACCGATACGGGAGCAAAACAGTACAAGTGAATGTCGCCGATAACTGCGATAATAATAATATTGTTTTGTAACTAAATTTTGTAAAAAAAAAAAAACATATTGTTTGGTTTTGTTTTCATTATGAGAGAATTTCCAATGAATGTGGGAATTTTTTAGCTTATAAAACCATGTTCGTCTAAAAGCATGTGTATTTTGACATTTTAAAATTAAAGTTTAACAGAATGTAAACAATAAAATAAAGTTTTTATAATGAAGCGTATTTATCTGCACGCGAACGGCTAGTTATAAAACTCTGTATAATCGAATTCAATAATAATGAGATATATTTACCCATTTCAATTGTTGATAATGTCATTTATTGTTAGGGTTTAGGAAAGTTTTTTTGTTTATTTATTTATTAAAATAGCGCAAAGTTACTAGGCCGATTTTAAATGTTCTTTCACTGTTAGAAAGGTAATTTATCTGTGAGTAACATAGGCTACATTTATTTATTCCTAGCGACACCCGCGACACCCGCGACACCGTTCGCGTGAAATTTTAAAAAAATAATAATAGTTGAAAATTATAGCCTAATTTACTCACAGATAAATAACCTTTCTAAGTATGAAAGAATTTTTAAAATCGGCCCAGTAGTTTTTGAGCCTATTCATTACAATCCATCAAGGTTTCCTATAATACTAAATATAGATTTTTTAATTTTACGCGGACGAAGTTTCGAGCAGTTAACTAGTGCTAACAGCTAGTATTTTTATCTGTATGAATGAAATGTATATTTGAATGTTTCCAGGATCTGATCCTCCGCATGCTGGAGTACGATCCGAAGCAGCGCGTGACGCCGTACTACTCGCTGCAGCACAACTTCTTCAAGCGCACCGCGGACGAGGCCACCAACACCCAGCAGGCGCAGGCGCAGTCGCACCACCAACACGGTTAGTACAAACACACAAACACACAGTACACGAGTACACTAGTACAAAACAATCGTACATATTACGTACTAATTTACATGTCGGTACTTGAGTAGGGCGTTGCCAGCCGATGATCTAGACTATGGTAAGTCTAGAAGGGAGAAGGCAACTACTTTTGATTATGTTTTTGAATAGTTTTTGTTTACATTTTTGAGGCAGGCTCAATCCTGGCAACGCCCATGACTGATGGTTCAAAAGTTTTTGAATTCAACCGATACAATAAAATAATTAAATTTAAGTTGCTCTTAGTGATGACATTTCTGAACTAGAAACCATCCCATTATACATACATGTGGGATAAATTAATACATTTTTGAGGCCACACAATTACATATATAAATCTATGTATGTTATAATATAAGTTTTAATACTAAACAATTAAATAAGAATAATGTTAACTATATGTTTATTTACTAATACTCTTTATAATGCAAAATTAATCTAAATAAATAATTGGCATGTGTATAGTATTGATGTTTATAACTAACTTTATGTTTAAAATATTGGTGTTTATTGGCATTTATTTTTAAATTATTTTCCATTCAGTTAACTGTTTAGTCGACAGCAATCATTCCGAGCTTGTCATGATCTATGCATAACGCTTCCATTAATTTCATAACTACGGGATACGGGAACACTTTGATTCTGGAGAGTAAATTGCCACACTCAAAGTCGTTATGTGATCGCTAGAGTACCTTAGTGTAGATTTTATGAGAAATGTACACTAAGTGATATTAAACCACTTGATGATGAGTGAGGCAGTTTAAAAGAAAATTTCTCTATTATTGTGGATTGGTTGAGATGAAATGATGAAATGTTTCCGTTTATAATTGTTTACTAATGACGTTTTTTTACATTTATGTAATGGAAGAAAAGGCGATATAATTATTTTATTGAATTTTTAATACAGACGCCTATCCTTCTATAATAATTTTACATCTCATGAAAACCGGGCGTACATTTTCATGTCTAATTTAATCCATCCATATGGGAAAGGGGATCCTTATGTTCTGATTTTAACCGACTTCCCAAAAGGAGGTACTCAATTCGTCTGTATTTTTTGTTGAAAAGAAATAATTATGAGTTAATGTGAGTTTATTGTGGATGTTCCCGCGGCAGATGGGCCGTCGGACCCGCGATGACTAGAGCGGTCCGGCGGCGCGCCCGCGCGACACTAGCCGCCAACTAGTGCTAACATTACCTGCCAGGTCTGCAGACATGTCCGAATCTTTTATACTCCCTTCTCCTTGTCTTGCAACTCGTTGTAGGAAAGTTTATTGCAAATATACACTAAACTATTTTTGGAATTGTAAAACATTTGTGTTTTTATTCGGTTCGAATTGAAACACTAAGGGCCTGTCTTACTGACTGATGTCTTAAAAATGACGTCACTCTCAGATAAGGGTAAAGAGGTTTAGGCTAAGCGCCATCTGCGCTCGGCCACCTCGAGCCCGGTGAATCTGTAAATGCCTCTTCAAGGCAAACAGTGACAACTCAGTCAAAAAAAAAATCAGATAAGGGAACAAAATCCGATATTTCCATCACATATTTTACATGTTGGATTATTATCAGACGATTTACAAATTGGTGGGACAAGCCCTAATGTATGTATGAAGTTGTACAACGTTGTTAAATACATTTGAACAAAGCAAGAACCTCTATGGTTCGAATTAATTATAGTTTTGTGGTTACGGTATATTTGTAATAAAACTTTCTTGCAATTTGTGACAGTATTGTTTTACCAACATTTTTATATTTAAATTGATCGTATTTAGTTATTCAGTAATTTTTAAAAAGTGTTGGTTTGAACATGTTTGTCCAACCCCGGTAGTTGACGATGTCATAATCCATCGCATGTCCTTGTAATCACTTGCATGGCTTTCACTGTTTCAATCTGCAGTTACATTGCTATCTAATATTTTGGTTCTATTTGTGTTTTATTTGCTGTTTATGTTTTAAATGCTCTTAAATGCTTTATCAATTACGTTTTATTTTAATTATTGAAATAAGGGTTTAAATAAGTAATGTTAAGATCACCCAATTATATATTGGATTGATTGGAAATAGCATGTTTTTATAGGTGTGAATACACATGAAATGTAGTTGCAGATGTCGCAGATATTTTTATTGATTTTAGGCAACACAAAACACAAAGTTTATCGTGTTATTAGTTGTGAACGTGATAGTTTAGGAAATGATGAACGAGGAGTTTTTCTCCTATTTACACTAAGATTAGCGTAAACCCCTAATTAGAAGTAACCACAAGTTAGAGATTACGTATTTAAAATATTCTTGTTGGTGAAATTAAATGATTATAACTCACAAGGATAGTTTTATCGTATGTTTAGTGGTAAATGACGATATGTACATTTTTATTCAATTTCTTATGAGAATATAATTCTCGTAAAGTTAAGCCTGGTTGCCTAGTCTTATTAGCATGAGAAGATTTTTTAGTAATTCAAATGTATCGTCATTTCATTTGATGTACTTCGTAATCTGCATTCTAGATGTCTTACTCATAAATTAAAACCTTAAACGTTATAACACTTGAAAAATGCAATATTTATTACATAGATATTGATAAAAGTCCAAGTATGTCATGTATTTTAATTTTAATATATTTTATGAGTAAGAACATTGTATATGCTTTAGTTATAACATAAATGTCAAATTTATGTTACAACTACATATAAATATATGTGGTGTGTGCAGTAGGCGGCGCGCGGCTGTGGGGCCCGGCGGAGCGCATGGAGGTGGAGAGCGTGCGCCGCGACGACGACATGCTGCAGCCCGTGTGCCAGCTGCAGCACAGCCCCGTCGCCATACACTAGCGCGAGCTCGGCGCCCGCGCGCCCCCCGCACCCGCCGCCGCGCCCGCGCCCCCCGCGCCGCGCCCGTCGCGCCCGCCGCGACCGCCGCGCCCGCCCAGGAAGCGCAGGCGTACGCGCAAGCGAGCGCGCTAGACGGGGCGCGTTGGACGCCGCCGGGCGCTAGAGGGCGCGTTGGACGCCGCGCGGCCGCAACACAAAGCGCATCGGACGCCGCCGGGCGCAACAGGGGGCGCGTTGGACGCCACCAGGCGCACCAAGGGGCGCGTCGGACGCCACCGGACGCGTTAGCTCATCGGTATCGCAAGCGGGTTGCAGCTCTGTCAGTGTGAAGTGCGCGTAGTGTGAGCGGGCGACCGGTGGACACGAGTGGATACAGTTGCGTGACGATTTATTGATGACATTAAAGTGAGAGTTGCAATAAAGGAGTGTAAGCGAGTAGACTAAAGTGTGCCCTAAAGTGAGAGGCCAGAAGAATGATAAAGCTATATTTATCAAAGACGAGGTGTAAAGCTCCAGGAAACTTCAAAATATTGAAGGGGATGCTGAAGAGAAGTTATAAAGAATCAGATTTAATGACACTGATATTGTATTTGCTTCAGAAAAATGGACATGACGAGTGCTAAATATTATCTTACACGCTATGGAAGATCGTCACTCGCTCACACCGACGCCCCACCTTAGTACTATAATAAAGTAACGGACGGCAACGAGCGTGCAACTCACTTGCTTTACAAATCTAGAAAACTTGTGAATAATTCACAAGTGTATACAGAAGGAGCAGAGTATGTTTTCATACTTGGACTTTGACAAATCTCGACCCGAGATGTACGGTAGCGGAATGCGATGATCGGAGTAAGAAGTTATTTTAGTGGTGAAGTTGTGTTTAAACAGTAAAGAGTGCGGAATGGACACCAGAAGCGAGGTGCTCTACAAAGACGATTGCGTTGTTTAAATGACATTAAAGTGACTTTTGTACTCGGTTGGTTTAGTTTAATTAGCACGGAGCCGGCGGCTGCGTGCGCAGACACGAGCGGAGCGGAAAGCGGGTACGCTAGCGGAAACTGGCTTTAGATTAATTCATTGCTCCATAATCGAAGACGATAGACATAATTACGCTCTAGTATTTTATAAGCCAAAAGCGAACGCGACGGTTGGTTTAGGTTAAGTAAAGTTAAATCACTCTATATTTAGAGGAAGGCGCGAGCCGAGCCAACGGACGGATGTAGTGATTAATTCTAGAGAAATCGGAACGAATCGGCTTTTGGAAGTATCTCGTCTATGCACGAGACCTGGACTGAATCCATATTTATAATTCTATATTTTTATTTATCGCGATAAGTCTGACTGTAAAGAGAACACTATGGTGACGAGATGTTACTTTGTAACATGTAATGTATTATTTCTTAATCGCTTACTTAGAAGGTTCGGAGGTTCTGTCACCACACACGGACGCATCCAGGGCATCAAAGCTAGGTTTTTTTATTGTTACGCAATGCATATCAAGGACGCAATATGGTAGAAAATAAATATTGTATATAAATTTAGAAACCGAACTAATTACGGATACAGACTGCGAATGAAAACTGAATAATCTATAGTTTAGTTATGGTCTATGCTAGGTAAGCTTACATTCAGTTATTATCGCAAGCTTTATATTTTTAAAAGTGTCGGCAACTGATGACTGAGGATAAAAAGGGCCAATTCAGAATTCGTTTTGTACGGAAAGCGACCGAGGTCATAGATATTTGATAAATGAATATTTTTCGATTGCACAAATCGTTTCCATTTCGATACAGAAACGTGTTAAATAATTTGAAACGTTGCCCTCGCATTACAGAGTTGTATATTGTAAATGTTTAGTTGTTGGAGGCGGAGGTGGAGGCGGAGGCGGAAGCGGAGGCGGAGGCGACGCGCTAGGGCAGGGCTCCTCTACCTTACATTTGTCCCGTTGGAGTATTCGATATGTTACACAGAGAATAGGTGTATAGGTAATTCTATTAAAAAATAAATAAATCACAAAATGTACTTGTAGGTTACGGGAATGTTGAAATCATATATAAAAAATTGGGTATTTCTGATAGGAGTTAATAAATTGAATTACTGACTTGTTCAACCTTTTTGGATTTGAATCTACAATAGCTAATAATTTCTTATATTTATGCGAATACAAAAGGTGGAACTAATTTGATGGATTTTGCGAATTGCGTATTTAATTTATGACGTTTTAAGCATTTTAATAAAAAAAAGTGTCTTGACACATTTGAAAAAGGTTGATTACAGAAGTTATTGAAAAAAAAAAACAAAAATGATGATGTATTTTAGTGAATCGATTAAAAATAAACAAAAACGTCGATTGTAATTTTGTTTTTAAAAAACATGGCTGTTGCTTCATTTTTAAATGCCTCAACTAAAGCTTCCAATATATTTTTATACTATGTAGTGTTGTAATGCGTTCGAAATGTCGATAATTTAAATAAATATATGTATGAATGCATGAAATTAGTTTCACAATATGTACTATATGTATGACTAAACCTCATCGCAACAGACTGGTCGTAACTTTGTAATGGAGATATTTTGTACAGCATACACTGAATCACTGCCTTATTGTGCCGGTAACTTTATATGGGTGAGGCACGCGACTGATTTGCGACTATTTACGTTTTCTAAGGTTTTATACGTCGAAATACATTTAGGGATGATCGATTGTTATCGATGTTTCAGAAAATAAAATTAAGTAAAGTTTTTTTCGTAAAGAAGGTGATAACTTATAATTTTTATCCAGTTACCAATACTGAAATGTACCAACTTAGTATTGTTTTGATATTGTATTTGTAATTTCGTACAAGAAACTGTGATGTTTGTTTTATGTTTTATATCGATACTAATATCGATGGATTTGTAAAAAGAATCGATCATCCCTAACCTCCATTCAAATACGCCATTATTTGTTTAACTGTGACATATGGATTGAAATATTTTTTTAATAATATACGTAATCGATTTAATTGTAACAGTTTGGAAAACGTGGGAATAGTCGCGACAGTGCCGTGCTGGTTTAGCGGCTCCATAGTGAAATGTTCTATTAAGATAAGTTTCATTTTATTGTTAAACGACTGAAGTTATATCACAATAGAGCCGTTAAACGACATTGCAACTGTAAGAATTTTTTTTAATTTCTGCAATGTTGCTATTTTTTTTAAATTACCCTTTTTCTCCCAATTTATTTAATGCTCCTACCCCACAGTGTACAGTCATCGGAAAGAATGTACAATGTAGTCCGAATAATTTACGTTTTTACGCAATTAAGATTTTTTGTACATCATGGCAACACAGGTCTTAAAATGTTTACAATGTCTGCGATTGAAGTATGGCCTAACCAAGAATATAAAAATCTGTAAAAGGAGCGCTTTAATGGCCTTCTTTTTTGTAACTCTATGTGCAAAGGATTCCATTTTTCCTCGATGTGGTGAGGTTGTTTATATTCCTGGTGGCGGTATGAGTGCGGGTGTGTCGTAAGCAGAGATTGTAAACCGTCTGTCGCCGCGGCGGGCTTGCATTCGCACATGAAGCATCAAAGTATTTGTCTAGCCCTCGTTCGTTTGGTGCGCGCGCCACTTTCTTCGCGTTCATTTAATTCTATGTAGATTTGAATCTATTTCTAGTTATCATCCGTTTCGACAAGTATACATTTTTCGAGTGTCTGTATAATATTTACTGTAATACTTTTTTGCTTCATGAGGTTGTAGGATCGTTAGGAATATAAGAGATAGGTATGGGAAACGGATCGTAACGATTTAATAGGGTGATAAATTGTATCGCGGGCAGGTTTCCGAATATAATTTATGTATTTAAACTGTATTTATTTTTATTGTAATAGTGTCTTGATATATAACTGTAAACATAAAGCTCCTATTGAAGCGCGGGGTGCGGTTATGTTGCTTCATACATTATTTTACACATAAGCATTATTGTATAATCGATTAGTTTGTTCGCCGCTCGCATCGGCCTAGCTCACGGCGAACCGATGATCCCTCTATGATCCGGTGACGTCACTTACGTAATCGTTTGGCCGAGGCCGACCTCATATCGTATTGTCGGAACTGAGGCCAAACGGCGCATATGACAGTTAGCCATAAGTTAGTTTCGTTGGCTCGACTATAATACGAGGCATTCTCCTGTTATTTCTCACAAGCGTTGACCATCGTGCTTGTGTCCGCAGTGCCGATGCGAGGCGAGCGTGTCGTAAGCGTTGTCAGGGAAATCTGCCGTCGACGTGTGCAACAAGCTGGTAACGACGATACGAACACCGACCTATTTGAATAGTTCTGAATCCATTGGTATGGCCCCCTAGGTGTTTGCGCTTGAGTATGTAATATACTTGTATTTATTTATCCTGTGGCAGGCGCGGGTTGTGCGGGCTCGAGTGCGTGACGCGTGTCGGTGTGCGAGCGAGATAAATGTTTATTTCCTATCGGATTGTCGGTTCGTGGGCACTGTAACAATAAAAGGATAGAGCTTTATGTCACTAAGTTTTGTATTTTAAATCAATAAACGATAGCAATGATTTTTTTGGTATTATTTTATGTTCCTAAATCTGCCTTTTATTTTTAATTTAGGATCGTAAGTAAGTCATGGTAAGTTTTTTTTTTATAACATAAGGTGGCAAACGAGCAAGCGGCCACCTGAAACCGCCAAAATGGCGAAGCGACCGCTGCCCATAGACATCCGCAATTGCAGATGCGTTGCCTACCATTATACGACGGAGGAGGAGACGCACAAAAAGAGGACATTTCCCCTTCCTAAGCATCTCATCCACAGTCAAATCCACTTCCCCTTCCCAACCTCTCCTTATAAGAAAAGGGTGGTAATGAGAAAAGGACTTAAATTAGGCCTCCGGCACCACTCATCAGACGAATCACGAATCAAAGCAAAGAATACTTTAATACTCAATCTTTGAATGGATAAAATAAGTCTCGCTAGTCACAAACACCTGACAGTCAATATTTGCAATGAATGTGCGAAAATAAAATAAAACGATTACATAGAAATTACGTAAATTAAAGAAGTTGTTAAAAAATATTATTAAGTTTAAATTGGGACCAATAAACCCAGTTAAAAATAGTAAAACAAACTAATTATTCCTGCTTTCAAACACGCTATTATGATAACACGAGCAGCAAGAATTGTTGCGTTTTGAAATAACTTAATAAAAACAATCATTCTTTTTCTTTGGTTGAAAAACCCAAAGTTTTTATATTTTCAATATTTTCACTCTCTCAGACATCGTTCCGATAGCCGTGATCGTCTAGTGGTTAGGACCCTACGTTGTGGCCGTAGTAACCCAGGTTCGAATCCTGGTCACGGCAGTGTCTCACACTGTTACGGCGGAGCTTTCTTTTTTTACTTTCCTTTGATGTTAATTCTTATTGCGTTATTTTTACACTTGAAATCAAACCTTTTTTTTTCAAAAAAAAACTATTGATAAAAATTTCAGAACAAAATGTTGGCAAATGTTTTTTTTTGCAGTAGCGTTTTAATTTACTATTTTTTATTATGTAAGTTTTCTTTATGTTGAAAAACCGCCATCTGTAGTATTGTTTCAGAACTTAATGGCCATTTTCTCAATTTGGAAGTGAAACGAAGAAAATGTTCATGATTTGTCAGTTCATAGATGTGTCATAGATGGCAGCACATGTATTTGTTTTGATACAACACGCACCGCAGCTGTTCGCTATCATAGAAATCTGTAAGGGAAAAGGAGTGGTGATTATGTCGTTCTCGACGAAAATTTACGTTTTTTATATGGTTCATGGCCGTATCAGGATCTGTGCTTGTAATATGTAATAGACTATATTGTTTCCCAAGTGTGTTATTATTTGCAGTGCGCTAAACTAACGTTAAAGTGTTTAATTAACCAAGTTAACATTGAATATGACGTTTACTATGGTGTTTGCGCTTGTGTGACGTTTACTATAGTGTGAATGTGCGTTCGTACGGACATCATTTCTGTTGGAGCGAATCTTGTAACGGGATGCTCTCTGAGAATTGTCTTTTTGGTAAGTTACACATTGTTTTGATCTGAATCCTAACCTCTGATTTACGCGACCATGCTGATGTACTGTTACACTTTGGAAGGTTTGCGTTGACCTCGATATTCTGCAATACTTGATCGCATTTCTTTGAAAGGCAATATCTCATTCAGATTTTTAAATTGCAGGTTTCATTTAACAGTTTTGTACTTATATCTTGTTTTTAATTTATTTCTCAACAAATAAGTTACATCTAAGTTGTACCGATTTATTTAAATTTATTCATCTGCAATTTGAAATTTTAGATTTTGTTTTGACTCCATATCTCCTACCTACATATTGGTTGAACAATACAGAAATAAAACTGGTTTTTGTCTAATAAAACTTGTCGAACCACTCTATGACTATAATTTGCAATGACACAACAGTAGGTGTCATAACTATTTTTAATTCGCGTAAAAAATAATCGTTCTGTGGGTTTAAATAAAATTTAAACAGTTCATTGGTACTTGAAATGTATTATTGACTTCAGATAATATTTACTGTAAGTATAATTAAGATACTTAATATTAAAATATAATAAATCCCCTTCACAATATTACTTTTCGATTAAAAATGCATAAAAGCCATACACACGAGAAAATATCTACGAGATGAAGTTGGTAATACTAAGTATTGGAATATTTATATCAACATTTTATAAGTACACAAGTTACTTTTGTAATTCTTACGAGAGATTTCTGTGAGATTTATGTTTTAAAAGAGATGACATTATCAAATTTACAATAGACAATTTTAAATTCTCTTACGTTAGAATTACATCTGTAAACGCCTTGTGCTGTTTTAAACTTTTGTGGTCGAGTTGAATGACTTGTCAATCACCCAGTGCCGTTAATTTATTTAAAATACGTAGCAAATTAGGTTTCTTTATTGTTTCTCTTCTTGATATTATGCTAATAACTCTTATAATATAAATGCGATAGTTTGAATGGATGTGTATTGTCTCTTAACTACATTACGCCTGAATGAACCTAATGATACCTAAGACAGAAAAAAAAATGCAGTCCGTACTAGACCATTGGCTACTTAGTTCATATTTAAATTCCACGCCGAAGAAGTCACGGTCACAGTCACTACTTAATTCAAGTAAATTAGTTCGCAATGTTGCTGTCTTTGTGTTGAAATGTTGATGGGTTGCTAGTTTCGAAGACGATCGGAATGAATCGAATGATGTATAGAGAATGTATTGTTTGT